ATGCGTGAGAATTTGGATACAAATCCGATGGCAGTCATTTATGACTTAGTTTTTGACACCATCAGGGTTATCCAGAATGTCGTTCTGCTGTTTAACAAACGTTTCGACCGGTTTGTACAGGTTTTCATTAAATTGCTATGATTTTCATTCTTATATCTAATCTCTGCCTTGAATTTCAGAAGAGAAATTTAGATAACTGTGATTTATCTGTTTGATCAGGAAGAAAAATAAAATTATAGCGTACAAAATCCAGCTTGATTATCTTTTGGTCTACCTTCATGTTGCAGGATGAAGTATTCCTCAAAAATGCGGTTGCTTCCAAATTTCCTCAATAGCCTCGATGTAAGCATTCATGCAATTCTCTCGAGTGGTTTCAATTGGTCATCGGTTCACTTAGAATATGCAACGGCTGTCTACGTCCAGCGAACTCTTAGTTTATAACCTGTGCTTATTCTGGATTATATTCATTGCCTATTGCATATATAATTGAAACGTCCGTTTAAAGCGTACTTAGAGTACATCATATTTACTTTGCTTGGACGCTGTTGCATAATAAATGTAAAGGGCAAATTCAGAGCCAGCGGATGCGACGTAAAGTTCTTAACATTTTGCTGTAGTTCATTAAAATGTTAATGTAGCAGCTCGGAAACTAAATTCTTTTTCTCATCTGCTTTATAAGTTAAAATCATTTAGAATTCAGGATAATCTTCGTTCCTTTCTTAAATAGTTCTTTGCCCTATTTTGAGAGGTCACTTCTGTCTTACCTTACGCGTGAATGTATTTGGGAAAGTTTTTGTTTTGTGTCAATTGGATGAGTATGTTGCAAATCATACTTTGTAATTTTCTCAATAACAGCTACACGATAGACTACTCTATGCGTAGTATGGGCTTCACTGTGTTATCTACTAACAGTCTGCACTGTTGCAACAGCTTTTGAGAGTTGTATTAGATTCATATTTGCTTTATAAAAGAATCTGGGGTAAAACTTGTCATTCTATGAAATGATACTTCTTTCAGAGATACTGTTTCCGACCCATAGCTTAAGCTTTATCCAAGCAGTTCTATCTTTTATGATAGAATTATCGAAGCCGTTGCAAAAACTTTGTCCAGTTCATCTTTCTATCGATTTGAAGGACTTTTGACCGGCCATTTACTCTCTCTTGGAAGCGAGGCTTATGTTCCTCTGCTGCAGCGATAACCAGTTTCTACTGCAACGTTCCCTGTTATTGCCACATACTTTTTCACTCAGGCAATGAAATTGCACACTTCTGTATGTGCTCTACCCGTTCATTTATGCTCGTATCTATTCTTTTTTTCAACATAGAACTTCCCATGCTGCGTTGCCTAGTCTACAGTCTGTGAATAGCTTTTAGATTTGGAATCAATATTTCATATCCAGATGGATATAAAATATATTGGAGAACAAAGCTGTTTTTTTCTCCAATATCTCCTTGGAGAACAAAAACAGTTTTGTAAATGAATGAATGTTTTGTAAACACATGAATTCAACTGATTAACCACTTTTCGACCATTAATTTTTCTCAAAGAGAACTATTTAATCAGAGAAAAAAGTGCTAAAATATTCAGGTTCATTAAACAATTTGGAATGATGAATTTGTGTTCATCACGTACTGAGCTCGTGAAAGCCAATTTTTCTCGATCTTGCCTCGAATTGTGCTGTTTTTATCTAGCATGAGACGAGCGTTGATCGAACGTGTTTAAAGCTGTTATTTTCCAGGTGGTTATATTGGATGCGATCACGAATATGCGTTTGACAGAACAAAGATCATTTATTCCTTTCCTGGCATGAAGCCTGTGGCATCATGGCATCTCCGCAAGAAACCTAAAGTATTTTGGCCTGAAATGGAAGCATCTAAGAGCTACACTTTGGCTATAGTTGACGCCGCCCGTGGTCAGCTTCATTATTTAGCCTTCAACTACCCAGGGGCTACTCAGGTAAGTGGCAATTAAATTAATGAAGTCCTTTGGTTGAAAAACAACAGTTTCAAAACTAATTATTGCCTGAGCATCAAATCAATCATAGTGAGTAAGCTGAATCTTTGTCACTATTCTTCATGTCTGACATGCCATTCTCTTTTAGCTTGAGCTGTCGCGTGTTAACATATTAACTGTGCTCTGTGATATATTAAAAACGTAATCTGGTGCGATGGTCGGCTGCAATCGAAACTCGACTATTTCCTCAGTTAATTTTTTAAATTCAAACCTCCTTTTGCAAAGTTGCATGGAAATGGTTTATGCAAGTGAGTATCATCGATTCCATGGGAGCAGATGATGGCAGTTAGCGATATAAGGAGACAATTGGAGTTTCATTTCGTCATGTACATTAGCATATTGGTTTATTTAACACTACATCTTGTTTTTTTCTCAAATGTACTCTGCAGCAAAGCGAAGCGCGTTTCCCATTCGCGAAATTAATTATTTATTTTTTTGACTGTGTAGGAAAGTAAATAACTTTCGGATCGATTTAAAATTGCACAAATAATCAGAAATATGCTCAGGCAACTTCAAATATATTCATTTGGAAAAACTTACTTTAGGTGATGCAATGGTATGAGCTTACAGAGAAAATTCAACACAGCAAGCTCATCTGCTAGTTTGCTGGAGATTTGAATTGCTGGTGAATTTGCACAAAATCTATGACTGACTTTCAAATACATCAGCTGCTATATTTTCAGCACTCAAACATCATGAACTACCTGATGACTTAGGAATCATTCTTTTCTGCGTCATTCTTCGATGAGTTTTACTAAGAAGATTTTGAAGCACTGCATTGAAATATAAAATCTTCGATCCCGCATCTGAAATTAGCTGACTTGAATAATCCTGAATGATAAAAATTGACAATTTGAATGAACGTCGGATTAGCATGTACAGAAATACAGAAATCATGTGCGTTAAGAAATCAGTGAAGCAGTTGGAATCGATTTTACTGAAAGGAAATCGAAATACTAGAGTAACTTAGAGCACTGATAGTCAATGCGAAATCGTCTAGAAATCAGGTCGCAACACTCAACTTTTTTACATATGATTTGCATGAGGAAGCAATGTTTTACATGCGCACTGTTTGAACAGACGCGTTTGGAAATGTCAAAAAACAGCTTCCTTTTCCGGTTGAATTTTCCTCCTCTATTCAAGAACGAAGACAACATAATCTTCTCAACTGCACTTGTCCATAAATTATGACAAATTAAAAGGTCATCTGTCCTTCAGACTACTGTGTATTTCTCATGCAAAAAATGAAAGAAAAAAAAACAAAACCTTCAAAATGCGACAAGGACAATAATTTAACGCTTGTGTATCATTACGTTTCAAAAATTTCCTGGATACAGTGGAACTCACTTTTAACAAGTATTTATGGGAAATCAACAAACCGCACCGATTCCACTTAAAGTACTATACAGGCTTTCTCTCTGATTCGTTTCATGCACAGTCACACAAATTACAATGGGAATCAGTCACGGAATTCAGTTCGAAGGCAACTGCGATAGGCTTTTGTGATTTACGTTTGCCTTTTAAACCAATACGAAAGTCCAGATCTCAAATAGAACCAGAAATGAATCATTCCTACTCTAAGCATAAACATCATCATCTTCTTCCATCGCCGTTGTTCCTTTCAGGTCGCGGAGGCAGACACGTCAGACAGAGCTTCCAACGTTCCCGATCCTGTGCCAGAGTCTGAGCTTCGGCAGAAGACAACTGGAGCCTGGAACAGACTCCTTCCATATGTTTGCACCAGATTAATCTTGGCCGTCCCCTGGGCCTTTTGCCGGTCGGATTTGCAATGAACAGTTGCTTAGCCTTCCTTTC